TAGGAGGTTTATAAGATGTTTCGATCTGCATTGCTCTCAGTTCTTTGGAAAGAATTTCTGTAGCAAATCCTTTCATAGCAGAAACATGAAAAAGTTATTCCAAAGATCTCCCTGGATACAGAGAACATCTTAAATGGCTTAATTCATTCTGAATGGAATAGACCAGCGCAAAAGCGACACGTACCTGCCAGCAGCAGCCAGACGGATGAGGGACCTCACTTTTTCCGGGATGGCTCTGAAAAATGGGCCAGTCAACCAGGCACCTTGACAATCTTGTCCCTCTCTTTTGCCTTTTGCGTAACCTGCACTTAAGAAACCAAAACTCTTTTTCGCCGTTATGTAAGAGGGAGCGCGAACCGGGAGAGGCAGCCAAAAGATGCAGGCAGGTATCTCGGGCAATGCAGCTGTTTTGCAGAGCTTCCTATCCGTACCTCCAGGAGTGAATGAAAACCCCGAAGGGGAAGCAGGGTCTCTAACTGAGGCGCAGGGTACCAGGTTCACTTCATAAGATCAGAAGGCGGAAATGAGTCACTGGTGTGTGTGTGTGTGTATGGAAGAGAAGAGCTCAGCAAAGCGACCACTAGAGAGTGCCACCTTTTTAAGGCAGCCACTGTTCTTGCCCCTTGAAGCACAGGTGACCCTGCCACTCATTCAGTGGCCTTCCATTGGCAATGCTAATGGTTCAGCTACAGGTGGTGTAGAAATGAAATAATAACAATAGTAATAAATGATACTGTTGAAGTCCTCAGAATCCTCCCTCTGAACTCGAAATCTCACTCAGAGGTTGGACTTGGGGGCTCTGAATTCCCATTAATTTATTTATTGCATCTGTATGTCATCCCATAGCCCAAGGGCTTGCTTAATCAATCAATCAATTAATTTAAAGCATTTGTATGCGACCCAATTGCACCACAGCACCTCTGGGTGGCTCACAACATGAGATAAAAACACAACAAAAACACAATAAAAACCACAACACATGAAAAACAACAATAAAATACAGAAAAACATACACAACAAAGGTTCCCCTCCCAGCCAGCATGGAAAGACCCACTCTGGCCATGGTCAAGAGAGGGAATCAGTGCCTGTTTGTCCTTTCCACTCTCAATCGGATGCTGCTTTCGCCTAAGTTGTGGGCAGCCATCCTGAAGGACTAATTAGCATCCTAATTAAGAATGCTCACTGGTAGGGCAAATGGCATGTCTATAAATTGCATCCGTTTTCCTTCTTGGAAAAGAAGCGTTCCTTTTCCCTTCAGATTCTCCTCTCCTGCTACGGCTTCCAAGGCTTGACATGTGTTTCCTCGTGTTAGCAGGGAAATGGGTGAAAGTCTAACACCTTCTCCACGCAACCAAAATAACTCAGACAAACATCATTACAGTCATTGATGTGACTTTTTCAACTCAAAAATTGTTCGTATCTGAACTCCTGTAGACAGGATACTGAATTTCTAAACACTCTGGAGCTTTTTCGCAGTGGAATTTGGTAATGTCTGTGCACCGTATTTTAATTCACAAACTTTGTAGAATGTGCTGCTCATCTGCACTCTGCCCCTCATTTGATTTTTCATCAGTTGGGGAATGAATAAATGAATGTTTATTTTGGTAACAAATGAATCCAAGTTTTGATCCCAAATAACAAATGACACAATTAAAGGAACAATCCAAATCCTACCGCATCACAAACACAAAAGCCTGCAAGCTCGAGACATTGCATGCATCCAAGGCAAGGAAAAGCAAAGACATACTGAGATTCTGCATAAACACAATGATATTAATGGGGGGGAAATTTCCACCCAGGACAGTGGACAGTTCACAGGAGGGGTGCGAGAAATTTCATTACAATACTTTTGTTGTTTTTTGGACAAAGCAAGCCCGTTCAGACTTCTAGGAATAAAAAATTGGATTGGAATGCTGTTCATCTTTAGATTGTGTCCTTTGCTGAATTTGGCAATGTGGTTCATGGCTCTGGAGGGCACATGAAAATTAGGGCATTGCAAATTTGTACTATCTTTCCTGAGTCAATCTTTTTCTCTGGTGGACCTCTGGGTTTCTGCAAAAAATGAAAAGAGTATTGATCCTGCAAGCTTAACTCCTGTCCCTTTCTGCAGTTTCAGTCTTAATAAAGTTAGAATCAGAAAGTAAGAAGGGCCCAGTAAGGTGACTGGATCCAACCCCTGATGGCAAGTGCTCTTCCTCGAAATGTAGTCAAATCATTTGACACTTTTGCTTAGTTGTTTGGGAGCTAATCCCTGAACAGAAAGGTTCTTGAAAGACACAGTTCTCTCTCTCTCTCTCTCTCTCTCTCTCTCTCTCTCTCTCTCTCTCTCTCTGTGTGTGTGTGTGTGTGTGTGTGTGTGTTGTGTGTGTGGCAGGGAAGTTACATTTCCTGGTCTTAATGTCACTTAATAGAAGCGTCAAGTCTCTTTGGCTTGGCTGAGAATTTCGTTTCTTTTTGGTGCTGATAAGAATTTACCAAAATTCACAACCTTCTCCAAAAAGAACTTGAGTTAAAAATAGAAATGAACGTGGGAGAAAATGAAACTGACAGATCTAGTGATTAAGGGCTCTGAGTTTTGCAGACTTTGAAGGTCTGGGGTTGAATCCCCCTCATTCTTCAGCCATCTTGGTGCTGAATCGGGGTTGCCAACTTTCTTCTTTCTTCTTTAAAAGGCTCATCATCTTTCTCAGCTATGGGACAGCTGGCCCTCTTAGTGTCAGAAATTAGTTGTACCTGTCAAACTAGGTCAGTGTAAATCCAACCTTTAACATGGTGGCTCAACAACTCACAAAATCATGGCTAGGGCATTAAAAATATGGAGTGATTTATCATTAAAAAGTCTCCATTGAAAATCAGCAACCTTTAAAAAAATCCGTCAGATCTTTAAGTGGCAAATCATTGCTGGAATTATTTAAAAAATCATCCACAGGTGAGGATCTGAAAACAAAATGTGAACAGAATATTCAGAGCTGTGTGATGTTGCTGGGACTGGCAGAGCAGAGTTTGGGAGTGCTGGACATGCTTGGAAGACGCAAGTTCGAATCGCCACAGCTATGAAATTAATGAGGTCACCTTGGGCCAGGCAGTGCCTCTCAGCCTGGCCTACCTCGCAGTGTGGTTGTGAGATATAGGGGTTAGGAAGAGGGTGATGATTGGGTTCTTTGCAGGAAAAGTGGCAGGAGGGGAAAATGACAACTATAAATAGGTCTCATATCTTCACATAGCTCTCTGTATGCTTACCAAGCTGCTCTTCCCGCTGCCCTGCCCTTCTTAATTTCTTCCCAGGCATTGAATGCTGTCATCAGTTCTCCTAAATTGTTCTTTTTAAGAGTAGCCATTCAAAGCTGGACAATAAGGAAAGCTGAGCGCCAAAGGATTGAGGCCTTTGGATTGTGGTGCTGGAGGAGACTCCTGCGAGTCCCTTGGACCGCAAGGCGATCAAACCGGTCAGTCCTAGAGGAGATCAACCCTGACTGCTCTTTAGAAGGCCACATCCTGAAGATGAAACTCAAATGCTTTGGCCACCTGATGGGAAGGAAGGACTCCCTGGAGAAGAGCCTGATGCCGGGAACAATTGATGGCAAAAGAAGGAGGGGACGGGAGAGGATGAGGTGGCTGGATGGAGTCACTGGGGCAGTTGGTGTGGGGTTGGGTGGGCTCCGGGGGATGGTGGAGGACAGGAGGGCCTGGAGGAGTGTTGTCCGTGGGGTCGCGATGGGTCGGACACAACTTCGCCACGAACAACAGCAATTCAGATCATTCTCCAGTGGAGTTTTATGCCCTGTTTTATGCCCCTCCTACCGCATCTTATCATTGCCAGGATGGGGAGCTGGGTCACAGCGTTCCCTGGGGGACGAGCAGCACGGTTTATTCTGTTAGGGTCTGTAGGAGCAGGTGCAGTACTTGGAGATGCCTGCCTGGATCGGGGCCTGGCAGATTATGCAGTGCAGCTGGGAGCTCCATGAAGGGCCTCTTTGGGCCACTGGACATGCCTACGGGTTGCATGACCCTTGCAGGAACCTTGTACGGCTCTTCAGTCCGACTGTCCTTGCCAGGTACCTCAGCACGGAAACCTTTGCATTTATCTACCAGATTTCCCCCAAAATAAGACCTAACCGGAAAATAAGTCCTAGCATGATTTTTTAGGATGCTCATAATATAAGCCCTATCTGAAAAATAAGTCCCAGTTAAGTATCGTCATCCAATACGCAATGGATGTATTGAATTATAAAATAATATTAATATATAATTAAATATAAATAATACTATTGGCATTAATACTTAAAATAAATGATAATATAAATTATAATTGTATTTGTAAACACCCAAGCGGGTGCCTCAGGATGAGAGGGAAACACCCATGTAAACAGATGAACTTGAGACCTATTGCCGAATGACCGATCGGAGCACAGACATGACACATGAATAACGTGCGCACTTGATAACGAGCAGGCGTGTTTCGTAATTCAACGTGTCGTGTGTTGTAACGGACATGCTTAATGCACTCGTGTGCTGCCACTCCTGCCTCGTAAGTCTTCAGTCAACACCTGATTTAATGGTAGCTTTAAAGGGAATAATACTTTGACCCCCAGGCAAGATGAGTGCAAAAAGAAAGAGCGATTCCATCAAGTACAAGAAAGGATTCGTAGAGGACTCTTGGGGCAAGAATCTTATAGCTTTCGTAAGAAAAAAATAAGACATCACCTGAAAACAAGCCCTAGTCCATCTTTTGGAACAAAAATTAATATAAGACCTGGTCTTATTTTCAGGGAAACATGGTAGATGGATGTTTGTGCCCCCCCCACCCCGGAAAAGCAGGTTGGTTTAGTCCACAGAGGCAATGGGTCCATTGTTTTGGTGACTGATTTGGCTTTAACATGCTTTATTGATTTGTCCACCTTTTGGCGACTTCTTAACCACCAGACAGAATTTATTAAAAAATCTCCACTTTAAATCGTTTTATCGTTATTAAATTTTTATTTGATTATGATTTTGTCTGAGAGGTCTTACTTTTACTGGTTTGTGCTTATTGTCTTCATTGAATTCTATCTTTTAATTGGTGTCTTATTGTTGTTTTACTTATTGTAAGCTGCTCACAGAGGCATTCCAGCTCTGGGTACAGAATGTAAATGCAATTAATTTTTGTAAGAATAAAAAACTGTAATTTGTAATTACAATTTTGAAATTTTTGTAAGCTGTCCAGAGGCTTTAGTATTGGGATGATGCATAAAAACTTGAAAGAAAGACAGACAGACAGACAGACAGACAGACAGACAGAAAGAAATAAGCAGGTCTTGGCATGAGGTGAACAGGGCTTTGCAAGGGACGCAAAGCAATCACTGCCCCCGCAAGTTGGCCCTCCCCAAATTGGCCCTGAATGGCTCTGAGGATGTTGCTAGGTATGCCTTTGTAATTAATTAATTAATTAATTAATTAATTCCCTTTCTATACCACTCCATAACCTGAAGGTTCTCTGGGCAGTTTAATTTGCAATTGCTTTGGTTCTTGGAAAGGGGCGTGTATTGCTGATGGGAAAGGAGCCCCTGATTCAGCAGCTATGCTTGGAATTTAAGGGTGTGTCCACAAACCATGCTGAACAGAATCAAACCTTTTCTTTTCCTATTCATAAAACATTTGTGCTTAGATGAAAGAACAGCATCTTTTTCCAGCACAGAGTGAAACCCATGAGATTTCTGCATCCCAGCTATATAAGGGGATCCTTAGAATGCTACACAGGTTTAATTTAAAAAACAACAACAATTTATTTTCAAGCCATTTTGCAAAGCTATAAGAAGTCAGGATTCCCTGTCTCAGCTTCAGCAAGAAAATAAGAACTTTGGTGAAGGACTTCCGCTTGTAAGAAAAATAGATCTTTGCACAAATCAGATCTCACTTATTGCACCGTTGGTCCTTTGGGTAAGCTTTGGCATGTGCAGTCCTTGTGTGCAGAGCATCATACTGCTTGTCCCAGGATCCAACCTTCTTTGTTTCATTTTAAACACAAGCCAAGCTTCTAGTTCTCATGCTTGTGAAAATATGCTAGACAGCGTATGGTGCCTTCTAAACTTGCAGCGCTTGGTACTACTAGGGCTTTGCTACCATGACAAGGTCCTTTGCACCTTTCTTTGGCTTCCCAGACAGTTTGTGCTAGATTCTTTTAATAGGTACCCCTGTTAAGTTGTGATGTGTGTGCTTTCGAAATACAGTGTGAACACCCCTGAACTCAAACCAGCAGGCCCGAGGGGAGACTCCCAATAGAAACAAGAAGCTATTTGGAGCCAGAAATAATCTTGCAGCCCAGCCTGTCATCCCAAACCCAGCAGTGCCCAACAGGTGGGTCACTTAAGCTAGGCTGGGGTGACTTTAGCCCCCTCTTCCAAGCTTTCTTCTGTCCTGGCTGCGATGCTGTAGTAGTAAGTGCGGATGAGGGTCTCCACCGTGACGAAATCAGGCCGGTCTTCCACCCTAAACAACAAAATAAGGAAAGAGAAGTCCCATAGGAGCTGGCCTGATTTTGGAGCACTTTTCCCCAGAGGGTCACCCAGAACTTGGTTAACTTTAACCTTCACTCAATCCAATGATTCTGTCAACAACAGTGAGTTCTCAGGTACCTTCTCAAAAAAAGGAGCTTACTAGGACATTAAAACACGCGCAACTTAACACAGCAATCCCCTAAAATACGACCACCCCACAAAATGAAATGAAATACAGTGGTACCTTGGCTCACGAACAAAACAGGTCATGAACAAAAAATTCATTAAAATGTTGATGTGGGTAGAAAACTCTGCATTGGGTGGCAACCAAGACCGCAGCCATCTGCCCCCCCCCCGCACCCGAGTGGAGGGATGGGCCACGATCCCAGTTGCTTTCGTGCAGGGAAGGCTTGTGTGATCAGAGGAGCGCTGCTGTGGGAAAGACGGGAGCAACCTTGGCCATTTCCCCCCCAACCAGCACGATCGCAGCCATCTCCCCACCCCCAGCACACCGTTTGCCCCCGTCTCTCCCTCCCGCGACCACCCCCATTTCTCCCCTTCACCCCCCAGTGCTCCGGGATGATGGGCGCCTGCAGGGATGATGGGGCAACCTTGGCCATGCTGGAGGGGGCAGGGAGATGGCCACGCTTGTGCCTGGGGTGGGGTGGGGTGGATGCCTGCGATCTGTGTTGTTCTTTGTCACTCTGTCACTTTGCTTCGCATTTTTCTGATTTAAAAGATGGTTCTAGAACGGATTGACCGTATTGACATTGAACCTTATGGGGAAATTGGACTTGGCTCACGACCAGTTTGGGTCACAACCAGAGTCCTGGAACGGATTGAGTTCGTGAGCCGAGGTACCGCTGTATCAGAGATGAATATAAAGCCTTCAACAGAGGCATTTAAGAGCCTGAGAGCAGCAAAAAGTTACTGGCCAGCATGGGACAATTGCTGGCATTAGGAACATATTGCTGGGGAGACTATCACAACCGGTGCCACCACTTAAAAGGATCTGTTGTTCTCTTCCTCTGAGCCTGGGGTGTCCAAACTTTTGGCTTCTCTGGGCCACATTGGAAGAAGAAGAATTGACTTGGGCCACACATTAACTGCACAAACACTAACACAAGCTAATAAGTAAAAACTTATTTTTTAGGCGAATGAGGCTTAGGCGAATGGGGCGGCATATAAGTCTGCTAAATAAAATAAATAAGAACAAAGGTCTATGCATAATATTTGTGATATCTGCCACCACAGATAAGCAAAAAAGTCCTCACATAATAATCCTAATTATGTGGTGCCCCATTTGGATTAACTTTTAAAATCATCAAGCAGGTCCCAAGTTTGCAAACCCTAATATAGAAAATGAACATATTTAAGTAATAAAATTTCATTGATTTTTAAAAATAGTTTTAGTATAAAAGTAAAAGAAAAGAGGGCAACATAAAACGAGTGGGATATTTGAAATTGTATTTGAGAAACAAAAGGATCAATCTTTCATTTAATGGAAGTAGTGGCAATTCTTGGTGAGTTCTCAAGGTGCTCCTCAGATATTCTGGTTCTAATTTGACTCTTAGTGTGCTTCATTCTTGAAAATAGTTGCTCACAAAGGGAAGCCGCACACCCTTCAGTTGTTAAACTGAAGCCACACATGTATACGAACAGTGAGAGCATATGTAAATGTATTTTATGTGACATCGCGACATGACATGCTCATCTACAAAGTTCATGCTGCAGAACCACACCATCGAGTCACAAAACAAATCTCAAAAAAATCTCATAATGTTTTAAGTAAGTTTACAGTTTGGTGTGGGGCCTTATTCATAGCCCTCCTGGGCCACATGTGGCCTGCGGGCCGCAGGTTGGACACCTCCTCTCTAAGCCTTCTTCAGAGAGGGCTCTCAGAGGACCAAACAAAGGACCAAATGTCTGTTTATTTTTTTACAGCATTTTACCTTTCTCTTCAGCCAGAAAGAGTATGGACTTGATCTGCTATGATTTGGGTAAGCCTGTAGATTTCTGTTTTTAAAATGGACTGTAATTTGTATAGCTTCCCTTAATGAAACAAAATCAAGCCAAGCCAAGCCAATTTCTGCAACATTTCTGCAAATCGATCGCGTTGAATTGCACAAATGGCAGAGCGGAGGCACAAATTGGGCACAAATCTGGAATTGCGTCAAAAAATTTCAAGAGGCCAAAGTGCAGAACGCACCCACATGGGGAGAAGGAGGCACTCCCATATCTCTCACGAGAAATACTACATCAAAAGCACAAGGATGGCTCAGGCCTCCGCTCCAATGAGTGCAAAATGCCCTTTGCATACATTGCACGGGGGGCACAGAATTCCTGGTTCCAAATTTGTGTAAATATTTTCAGCAATCTCGCAAGTGCTGCCAATGCAGTCTACTTTGGACTGTCGAACTGGAAATGTGCCAAAAGTCCATCAAGCTCAAAAGGGCTGAGTTTGCTGTAGGGCCCTACTGGGTGCAACCCATTTTGTGGAGCAAGACTCAAGGGACCTCAAAGACCTGGCTGAGCTATGCTTTATTCCTCAGAAGAGGGACTTACTTGAATGTCCAACATTGTTGCATCAGTTTGTACATCTCTGGTGGACACTTGGGTGGGCATTCCATCCTCTTGCCTTCCTCTATGAAAGCCATAACCTCAGGTCCTTTCATTTTCTAGGAGAAAGAAAACAGAGCCATTCACAAACATTCCTGCAGGAGCCCGTTTTGTGCTAAAACCACCCCATCTGTTGGTACCCATGAAGAGCAGGTTCCCAAATTTGGGTGCAGATGGGCTCCCTGAGCATCCCCCAGGAGGAGGAAACATGTGACCAAAAGGAGGGAACCGCTTGCCAAAAAGAAGACACATGTGACCAAGAAGGAAGGCAGAAGAGGATATCAATTTGTATGATATTTACTTAACCTGTACACAGGGTTAAAATCTTAGAAATTTATTTATTTAGCATTTTTATATGCCATCCCAGGTCACATAAGCCTCGGGACAGCTTCCAACACTGAAAAATATACAATCAATCAATAAATAATCACACATATATATAAAATATAAAATATAAAATCTGGATTCATCCTGGCAATAAAAGTATAAAACCAATAAATAACCTTAATGATTATTAAAATATTGTTTGAATAAAAAGGTCTTAGTCTTTTTATTGCTTGTACTATAAATTTAATATTAATTGCAACTACCATTTTAACTTTATGGGTTTTTTTTAAATGCTGGTTGTGAATTGTGATGCATTATTGGATAATTGCTTTACATTGTAGTTTATTATTTTGACATTAAGGTATTGATCTTATATATATATATTTATTATCATTAGTTGTTTAAATTACTATTAATTTTATTGCTATTACTATTTTATTGTATTGTTCATTTTATTGTGTTTGATCGTAGGTAAGATGCCCAGAGAATCTATAGCTAAATTGGACAGCATATAAATCAAATAAAAAATAGAATCTCACCATATTGGGAAAGGCAGACTTGGGTGTCCAAGGTTCTAGGTGCCCAGGTTAGTTCCAAGGCCCTGGATCCCTTCTAAATTACTGCTCCCTGGTTTGAAACTCAACTCAGACCAAACTGTTCTTCAAATAGAGGGTCATCTTCCAACAGGAGAGTGTACTCTACCTGCTCAGGACTTTAGCGATTGACTGAAGCACCTGTTTCTCACATCTCCAGATTAAAAGAAAAAAAAAAAGCTCTGGCCACGGATAAGTGGAGAGGCCTGGATCTGAGTCATGGCCAGGTGGCTTGGACAACACTGGGCCACAAGAGCAAGGATGCTGATTTTGCAAATGGCTGCATTGCTTGTTTCCTATTTTGCCTGTGGAGCAGAGGACCTTCTGCCTCCGCCCACTCTGCCAGGATTGGCCCTTAGCTTCCAGGCTCCGCCTCCATGTCAGAGAGTTGGAAGAACCACCAACCAGACCAGCTCTTGGATACTCACCTTGTAGGGTTTCTGCCCGTAGCTGAAGGCCTCCCACATGGTCACACCGTAACTCCAGACATCACTTTTGCTTGAAAACTTCCGGTACAAGATACACTCCGGGGCATACCACTTCAGTGGCCACTTCCCTGTGGTTTTGGCCTGCATTTAGGGACAGAAAAGCAAAGCAGCCCGTCTCCCAAAGCACAGAAAGAGTCATGGAAGTGAAACACAGGAGGGAAATAGTACAAGCAAACTTCCCTTTGGATCACTGGATGCTCTTCTGGGTGGCTCGTGGACTAGGAACCTGAAAGAAAGCATCATCCCCCTGCAGAAGAATCCCCTCGCCCCACCCCGTTTTGCTCAGGGAGCTCTTGGAATGTTGAAAGTGTTGTGGGTGCTCTCACAAAACGTCTGCTTTGGTGGATATGGCTGGTCATAAAAGAAAATACATTGGTGGAAAGTAACTTGCCCAAAAACCAGTGGGCCAAAACATGGGAAAGACCCAAGCTGTGAAACACCACGTGCTCTTTTGAACCCCCATGTGGGTGTTTCCAGAGGGTGGCTCTTTGATTTGCAGCCAGGCTGAAGCTGCAGAGCAGGACGGAGGGGGCACTTTTGGGATGCGGATGGCTTCCCAAGTCCCAGAGGCATTGCCCCTTCTGCATGTCGGCCAGCATTGGGTCAGGAAGGAATATGAAGATTCCTTGATTGGCCAAGAGTGGCAAGATTCCTGTTCTGCGGCTTGATTTCTGGACTGAGGTCCCAAATTTCTCACCACTGGCAGTTTAGGACGGTCCACCGTCAGAAACAATAACAACTCTAAGAACAACTTTACTCAACACAGAAGTATTTCTGAGGGTCCCCCGTGTGGTTCTATCGCCCGTCTCCCCCAGAAACTCTGAGGCCTCTTGTACTCCCACAGGAACCTCCCACACAAGCCATTCCCAGGCTTACCAGATAGTAACTGTCGTCGGCAGCCAACGCCTTGGAAAGGCCGAAATCGCTGATCTTGGCATAGTGTTGGTTGACCAGTAGAACGTTCCGAGCGGCAAGGTCGCGGTGGACAAAATTCTTCTCCTCCAGGTATTTCATGCCGATGGCTACCTGGTGCATGAGCTCAACCACGTTGCTCACCGTAATTTCATCCCTACAGGAGAGGGAAGGAAAAGCAAAGTCCAGCTTCTGTGGGACACGTCATTGAGCAGGAAGCCCTTGCTCAGGGGAAGACTCTACTGGCCGTTATGCACCTTCACCAAAGGTGGGGAACCTTTTTCACCTCACAGGCAGAATCAAATTTCAGAGAAGCGCCTGGCGTGGCATCCTGTGTTGGGCAGGGGCGAAAGCGAATTGAGCACTGGCAGGACATACAAGCAATGCTGGCCCCTTTCAGCTCAGTGCATTTGTGGCCAGCAATCAAGTCTTGGTTAATGCATCTCAGAAAAATTGCGCAAAGCCTGGGGAACCATAGTTGGTTCAGTGGTTGTACAAAGAAGGGGCACAACTGGGAATAAAGGGGAGCTGAAGGAGGCCAGGTCCAGATCCCACATGGTGTGGTTTTCCACCAGTCTGTCCACCCTGGACAATGACAGCATGGCCCCCAGAGGAACCACATAACTGGCCAGTCTGTGCGGTTGAGCTACTGATTACACAGACTCATGCAGACCACAATAGACCAATATTCCTTTGAACTTTTTGAGGGTCGTGGATGGAGCTACGGACAAGCTCGCCCAATGACCCGATCCCAGCAATGCGGCAGCTGGGCCCCGGATTGGCTCACCTCTTGGAAGACAAGAATTTGTTGAGTGGTCCACCAGACGCCATCTCCATCACCAGCATGAGGGCCTCTGCCTCGCAGACGCCAATCACGCGGACAATATACGGGTTGTCGAGCTGGTGCATGATCTGTGCCTCCTTCATCATATCATCCCTTTCAGTCCTCTCATTGCCACTTTTCAGCATCTTGATGGCCACGTCAATTTGCTTCCTGGGTGGGAGGAAATGGGGATGACACAGATGGAAGAAGGATGGACCACCGTTGTCCACACGCACCTGGTCCACGCAGGGAGAATTGGACCAGAGTTGGCATTAAGGATGCCACGTGGTTGGAGGAAGTTGCTGGTTATGGCTAGACTCGGGGAAGGTACTGAGTTCTCTGCGGTGGCGCCCAACCTATGGAATTCACTCCCCAAAGAGGTCCGCCTGGCACCGTCGTTACTGGTTTTTCGGCGCCAGGTAAAGACCTTTTTATTTAAACATCATTTCAATTGTTAAAACATATGATCTGGCCTGGGCAACTTCTTCTTCCTTCTCTTTCTCCTCCTATATTTTTATTTTATACTGATAATTTTAATTTTGTATTTGTAAATCAATGTATTTTTTGTATTGTTATATTTAATGGTAATTTATTATGTACTATTGTATTTCAATGTATTTTATCATGTTGTAAGCCGCCCCGAGGTTTCGGCAAGGGGCGGCATAGAAATGTTATAATAATAATAATAATAAAAAAAAAGTCTAAGAATCCAAAATATGGATTCTGCAGCAGATTGACTCTTGCTGAATCTTGAGAGTTCCCTGGATCCATGGACCATTTTTCCCTTCTGACAGGGGGAATCTGCACGAATTCACTCCAGTGCAAATTTGCTTCGCTGAAACTTTGCGACGGCACAAATTTGAATTAATGAATGTGGATAAACCACAAGACCCGGGTGGAAGAGGTTTAACAAAATGTGTTTGTTTGTTTATTTATTTAGAATTTTTGTATGCCGTCCCATCACATAGCCTCGGGACAGCTTACATGAAATAAATAAACACAATACAAATAAAATCCAGATTCATCCTGGCTGCATACTAAAACCTATAAACTGATATTAAAAGTTATTAAAATATTGTTGAAATAAAAAGATCTCAGCCTGGCGCTGAAAAACAAATAACGATGGCACCAGGCGGACCTCTCTGGGGAGCGCATTCCATACGTGGGGCACGACCGCAGAGAAATTCTCCTCCGGGTACTCACCCTCCTATTATCCTTCACGGAGGGTTCCCGGAGGAGGGCCTCTGCTGCCGATCTCAGGGGGTGGGAGGGCAAATATGGAAGAAGGCGTTCCTTCATGTATCCAGGTCCCAAGCCGTTAAGGGCTTTATAGGTGATAACCAGCACCTTGAATTGAGCCCGGACTTCAATGGGAAGCCAGTGAAGCTGGTAGAGGACTGGGGTTTTATGAGAGTAACGCCCAGTCCCCATCAGCAACCTGGTTATCCCTTAATGTGCTATTCCTTACTTGGGCCTCCCCAGGTGCCGGTGGCTGAATGCCAGTTCAGGCAGGATGATAATGGAGGAATGACATGGGGAAAGATGTTAATGGAAGAGCCCGAGAGATGCTCACACAGGGCACCTTTTGTCTTGCACAAATCCACCGTTCAGCCACCCTTGTGGGGCACTTACTTCTTCATTTTGTAAACTCCTTTCCTGACACAGCCAAAGTTGCCTGAGCCCAGCTCCACCTCGTCAACCATGAGGTTGCTCCTCTTCAGAAACAGCTTCCGCTCCTTCAGCTCTTCCGGATCACTGTAAGGACTCTCGTAGCATGACGTGTCCATGGGTAAGATCCTGGCCCCTGCTCCGGCCCCGAGAGAGAAAGACAGACTTACTGTGTGCATTCCGACTTTCCCAACGCCATCATCCAAAGATTCACCGTTCCAGAGTCTCAGCTGATAATGCTCAGCTTAGGGAACAGATCTACAATTCAGCTGCATTGTTCAATTGATTTTTAATTTTAAAATCTAAAGCAGCTTCTTGGTACACATGAGTCAAATTTGATCACTCTAGCTATGACTATTTAGCCAATATCTCCAATTAGAAGCTCAGACGGTCCTTCATGGCGTTGTGCTTTCAAACTGCGCAACAGTTCCTTCGGCAGGTCGTTATTCTGACTTTCCGATGGAATATTATCTCTGTGTTAGTGGTTCTCCTGTAGTAAGAATCTTCTTCAGTACATGATATCCTGTCCTCTTTATAGAGCTCCAAGAGATAATTTTTTAGCTGGAATTTTTATCTGCCACTGATGCATCCTTGGAATCCAAGATTATTTTTATGTCATTAGACAACAATGCTTTAGAGACCGAGTGCCCAAACTGCAACCCAAAACCCACTTATTTATCGCAAAGTGCCAACACTGCAATCAAACCTGAAAACTGAGGTTTTAGTTTAGAAAAAACAATTCTCAGCTTGTCCAAGAAAATATATAACAATCCATGGCAGCGCACTGACTAGCCATGTGAAAGCTCAGGCGAATTGCGGCTAATGAGTCGTGGCTCATGACGTCATCGCCTGGCGCCGCCACTCCTTTCCAAGCATGCACATGGCCCTCTGTGCGCTGCTATCCGGTGCTCGGCTGATGGGGCGACTGGGCTCGCGTGCCGACAGGAAGGGCTCTGCGTGCCACTGTGGCGTGTGTGCGATAGATGCGCCACCACTGCCACAGAGTATCTGTCTGCTTTGGCTGCTATGAAGATTAGATCGAAGGTGGCATCAACGGAGTGGCTAACTGATAGTCATTAAACTAGGTTTTTTTTACTGCTGTATTTTTTCAGTTTTAACATCTGTTCTTAATGAATTTTCCTAATTTTCCACTTTTGGGAATTTTCACATTTCAGGATGTACAGAAATGGAGAAATCCAGCTCATTCGTGCTTGGTGGATTCCCCACCTGCTTCCAGTCCAGTGACCAGAAATGGTCTGAGTTCACGATCCTATCATAGCCTTTAATTCTAAGACAGGATGAAATGCCTTAGAAAAGTGTGCAAAATAAGTGCAAAAGGGAGAGGGGGAGAGAAAGCTTTGTAAATAAGCACCCTAAACTCCCAATGGATCAAGTGAACTTTGCGCAAACTCAGTCTGTTCACTGAAGATTGCAATTGGCAGAAATTCCAATGTGCAGAAAGCACTCGATTTCGCACAAAATGGGTTATAGCTACACGATTTTCAGGTGCTTCTTTGCATTAATTTTGGTAGCTATTGAAAAATTTACAAATAAGAATTGCTCTTAGAATGGAAATTTGTGAACTATCAACTTGCAGCACACCAGTGAATAAGATGGATTCCCTACACAAACCTCCATGGACAGGGGCAGTTTACCACTGGCCTCCAAATGTGGAGATTAAACATCAGAGGAAGGCCAAACTTTATTGTGTTGGGTCATGGCATACAACTAATGAAGGTATCAAATTTCACAATTAATCCACTAACTGGTTGAGACTCACCAGCTGGTAATACTCAGCTTTTTAATTCGTTTGGATCAGTAACTTCTGAGTTACGTTCTGAATTGTTCACAAGCTTCTAGTCCTCATCACAGTAGCAAAGTCATCCAGTGAGCAACATAGCTGAGCAGAATGCAGGTTCCCTCAGTCCCAGTCCAGCTGACTAACCACTATGCCATACTCTCTAACCACTAGGCTGAGTCCTGTTCCTAATATAGTCATGCATTAGTGAGAGAACTCAAAAGATGACACAGGTATAAAAAAATCGTTAAGAGGGGGGGAAAAAGCCTTAAGAGAATTTAAGAGGAGGGGAAAATCTTATCTTTTAATATCTTAATCTTTTAAATCTCATATTAATCTTTAAGGGGAAAATAAATTTAAATGGGTTAAAAAACCCTACCAGCCCAGTGGCCCTATTTGTTGAGCCCCAAATGCCAACCAAATTAGCTGGAGGTGAAAAGTTGACCAGAAACCAGACTGATGAAGAAAGAGGACAGGGCCAAATAGGAATGTTCCAAACTGCAACATTTTGCTGCAGGTTTTGCTTGTACCCTTCATTGACAAAATGCTCTCGGAAGTTTGCAAGGCATCCTTTTAAAAATGCCGTGGCTGCTGCCTCTTGGCCCGCCACAAGGTGGGGATGTAGTAACACGCATCCTGCCACCATCCCTCTTCTGCACTGTCTCGCGCCTCCTTCCCTTCTTGTCTTTGCAGCACTTCTTTGCTATGCCGCTGATCCCGGAAGTGTAAAATTAACATCAGTTCCTCACGTACATCTAAATCTTCCAAGTTCAGATTTTTTTCTTGCTCGGATGAAAACATGGTGCGCGATGCAGAAACACAGTCGTGCAATGCTTTGGAGGATTGCAAAACAATTCTAGCTAAAAGCCTTTTCGCAGTAACCCCTTCCAGCAAGGAATCCTTTGACCAATTCAGCCAAACCAACACCAATGTTGTCATAATTTTGGCACAGGACAAGACTCCTTTATTCCCAGAAATTTGATGGTATCTGTATAATTGCTAACAGGTGTCACTGACGTTTGAACTGTTTTGTGATGTGTTTGTATCTTAATGGGTAATTGTTGTAGCCGGTTGAAATCTTATACGTTTCATTTCTGTTGGAAGTCACCTGGCATTGTTTTGTCTTGAGAATATAATCTCAGCAATTTTAAAAATAAATACATTTTAAATAATCCAGGCTGAAGAATGCAAAGTCAAACGAACCGCAATCTTTCATTCTTTCTTGTAAACAAATCTCTATTTGTACGAGATTTTCTTTTTTGCAAAGAAATTTTACTTACCTATGGGTTCAGGAGCGTATCTTTCAGAGTTTTGAGGTGTGAGTCTCTTATTGGCCTAGATGAGGGTGAAAAGAAATGCTCAGAGGAGAATATAATCATGTCACCTGAACAACAACCCTGCAAAGTGGGAAAGATGGAAAATGCGTTGCCCAAAGCCATTCAGTGAGGTTCATGGCTGAGAAGGGATTTTAACTCAGTCCCCGTGCAATGGTGGACATGCGTATTGCGTTGTTTCTATACTAGCCAATGGCCAAAGCCCTTCTCCAGTTCAGAAAATCATAAAATGCATTGAAATGTTATAATAATAATAATAATAATAATAATAATAATAATAATAATAAAAAAATGCCAATACAGTGGTTTTCAGCTTTCCAGGCATGAGTTCCACCAACACCTGCCTGGGCTAACGTAGCCCCAAATGCTGACGCCAACCTTTTAAGGTGGGACCATATTGGTACAATTCCAGGAGGTGTGTGGAAAGAGGCAACCCCCTCCCCCCGCAACCATCTTTCTGTACTTACCACCCCGGATGGGTGTGCTGGTAGGGCCGGTGCCATGGCAGCTGGAAATTCAGGAAAGAGCGAAGAGTCAAGGGTTCTGGTTGGTTAGGTTACATGTGGAAATTGGGGGTGGGATGGCATGCCGTCAGAATTGGGAGGCAAAACCCCCGGGGCATTTTGGTTTAGCTCCCCGCTCTCCCTGTTGGGAACTAGGTTTGATGAGACTGGGGGTCATGGGGAAGTGGTTGGGGCCAGGAAAAGTCAGTGTGGCCTTCTGGGAAGACCTGGAGAGTAAAATCAGGAACACAGGTTGGCCCATGGGCTGGGGGTTTTGGGATAGGCTTTGTTGTAGCTACACTGAACCTATTCACCCCCCGCCCCTTTAAGACAGGACTTGGCCGGAGTGACTAACAAGTATGAAATGCTGGAAGGAGTTCGGGGAGAGGTTGTTGGTTTTCAGAGTGTTTTTTGCAGGAGAAAGAGCAATAGGGAATTACTCACCCGTTGCCATGTCTGGATTGGGAGCACTTTCTTTCAGATAATGGATCAGGCCATCCCGTTTGAGTTTGAGGTACTCTACCATCTGGGAAAAGAGTTTGAGAAAGAATGCCAGTGAATAATAATAATAATAATTATTATTATTATTATTAAAAAAATTGTATGGCGTCCTTTATATAAATATCTCAGGATGGCTTACAATAATTTAAAAGAACAATTTAAAAAGCATCTAATAACATCCAATAACAATTAAACATTAGCACAGTGTAAAACAATAAGTAAACATTAAATAAATCAGATTAAGTCAAGACAAAACAACGCAAAAGCGATTGCAGAACCATTCAAATTATTAATTTTAAGAATACTGCTTAAATCAAAAGGTTTTGACCTGGTGCCGAAAAGAATAAAAACTCCGCACCAGGCGTATTTAGAATTACAATCCTAAAGCATAGTTGTCCAAGCAGTGCCTTTGGCTAGCTAGGTCAACATTTGACCTCTGCTTTGCCCACTCAGGTCACAAGATTTTCCTGGAGAAATTGGGGTGATCCAACCCCGCAGATGGGCTTTATCTAAGGATGGTCAACACTGAGAAACTTGGCCTGTTTGTGTCCAGGAGATTTTCAGTAATTCTCTGATCCAAGAGCCAAAAATGAGCCGAATTGGTGTATGTGTTTATGCTTTGCATTTTAAGTGATTCACAATTTGTATATTTTCTTTAAAGCCAATGAAATGTATGTAAACAAGCAGCCACAATGTACATTCTGGCTGAAATCAGTGCGAATTTGCAACTGAGATGCATGCAAATTCTGGGTTCAGTTGGTCAAAATTGCAGCCAGAATTTTTATGAATTTCAGCTCTTTAGGGGCTGGAGGAGTTGCATGAAAGTTGTTTTTAGTACTTCTGCCAGCTTTGGGATCTCTCCCAGACCTGTTGATTCCTAGTTCATGGGATGGCTCTGGTTCATCTACATAAACAATGACACTCACACCCCCTGGACGTAGAAAATAGTTGGACGCATTAGTGAAGTGGAAGCTATTTATTTATTTATTTATTATTATTTCAATTTATATCCTGCCTTTTCCTACAAAGGGCTCAAGGCAGCTTACATCTCCTCCTCCATCTCATCCCCACAACAACAACCCTGTGAAGTAGGCTGGGCTGAGAGTCTGTGCCTGGCCCAAAGCCACCCAGTCGTCTCCATGGCTGAGCGGGGACTAGAACCCAGATCAACTGAGTCCCAGTCGCATGCTCTTAACCACTACACCTAGGATTAGCCCATTGCATATCCACAGAGAGTGCAATGCTAATGGGAGGCCTTTAAACAAATGTAATACATAAACAATAAATAAATAAATAGTTGGTGCTAAGATATGCTGCTCTGGAATGAGGAGGTTTCATTTAAAGATACACATGTTAAAATGGGGGAAAGCAGGTCCGTGCATGCATGCAAAAAGACGCATGTGCATGCTAACACGCACACACAGAGGCATACATGTGCAAGCACATGGAGACACGCACACACAGACAGAATAATCCGTGCACGTGATCCATGCACAAACAACAAACTCGCCTGCCAGAGTGTATCAAACTTGGTCCCGTCTTCCACAGAGTATTTCCCTGCTTTGTCCTGCTTTATCCGGTAGTGATACACCGTCTTCCCGTAGATAAGGGACAGCGCATACATGCCTTTCTCTCTCTTCTGCCGCATCCTGTGGGTGAATGAATGGCAAGGGGGTCAGAATCCTGGGTGGTTGCCCCGTGGGCTATGCAGAATGCCTCACGTGGCAGGCCCACTCCTGACAGGGGGTTTTTCGTGGTGGCCCCTTCCTTAGCCCTGGATATTGTCTCCGCCGCTGATGCCAAGAGCAGAGAAGGATAACTGTAGTACTCTGGCTGGCTGGGATTTACTGTGTCATTTTCCCACAAGCCCTTGTCCGAGGCTCACTTGAATTTCCCACAAAGCCTCCGGCAGCATGCCAGAAATGCTGTTTTAATTCTGCACAAGGGCTCAAGGGATGCCAAACTGGAGGTGCTACCAGGGAATTCACATGCGGCTGCTGGTCGCAGACCCCAGTGGGCACTTGTAGCTCTAGGGGGAAGAATATGAGGGGTCTCCTATTTTCCCCCTGAGGTGGAGACCCGGGCTAAACATCGGTACCAGTCAAAACAGGTTCTCTGCTTGGTGGTGCATGAACTGGAGGAGAAATTTTCATTGCACTCCGAACGGTTGACACTTACAAGAATTTCCCGTCAGGCTGTGCTCCAGAATAGAGCCGGCTTTCGGCTTGCTCCCGGGTGATGGAGCCATGGTACCAAATTTGCTTCTCGTGGGCTGTGGTGGCAAGCAGTTTCTCCACCTGGGGAGCTTGGTTTATGAAGGCAAGTTCCAGGTTTTCTCCCTAGAAAGAAGCTAGGCTATGTTTCCAGGAATAATTTCAACAGCAGTGTTTCCTTTTAAGGCAAGGCATAACATCCACCTTTCGTATGCAACATTCTCTGGTTGTACCCATTCCTGTATGCAGCCTTACCTAAATACATATTTTTCTATCTGACTTTCCCTGAGATATGTAGCAAAGTATAGCTATTTTTAAGCTGAGAACTGAAGTGCAATGTTCAGAAAAGCAAAGATAAGTTCAAATGGGTTCAAGTCCAGAAAAAGTTACCGAAAATGACATGGGCCAAGGATGCACGGAAATTTCCTTTTGGTTTACAAAGTGCTCAGAAATACCGTGTCCAGAATCCGGGATGTGAATTCAAATGCTTTAACATTCCTGAATGTGTGCTCTCATTTGAGAAATGTGTACTTTGAACAGATGGATGGAGCAGGGAGAGAGGAAACCACACTAGTGTAGAAACTGCAGGGTGACCTCTAAGGCGCAGCCAGACAAAAACTATGCATGGTGGAAACCAAGCATAGTTGCTTATTGTGTCGTGTGAACCCAACCTCTGCCTCTGTGAAAGTCTCAGTTAGGAGGGAATCTGAAATATCTTTCTCAGTTGAAGACCTCAGAAATCCTCTGGTCCAGGAATGAAGGTCTGGAGCTCTGGCCTGCAACTGAGGCTGATGGGAATTGCAGTTCAAACACACCTGAGTTTTTGCTCCTCCCTCTGCAACTGCAGATTAGTACCAAATGGGATAACGAACACCACCTTTCTGCCCCAAAAGGCTCTAGGTATGTATAGAGGTGTGTGTGTGGATTTATATTTGCTTATTTTAAAATTATATTTGTATCACACTTTTTTTCCTTTCAAGTAACTCAACTCACATAATTCGCTTGCTCTCTGTCTTATCCCCACAACAACAACCCTGTGAGGTAGGCTGTACTGAGTCTGTGACTGCCCCCCAGTGGCTGAGCAGGGCCTAGCAGCCAGAGCTTCTGAGTCCCAGTCCCCCCCTGCTAACCACTGTACCAAGTTGCCTCTCTGAAAAACCGAATGCATGAAAACGGGGCAGAAGAGCAGAATTTTGGCCATACCTCCAGGTTCCATGTCTGCCGGATGTATTCGCGCACCATGTTCTCCCGGATGTTGTCGAAGATTCCCAGCTGGGGCTCCACGCTGCTGGGGCGGTTGCACGGCTTGCGGAGCAGGCAGCAAAGTCCGTCAGCATCCTTGGAATAAAATTCACAGAGCTCCTCGGGGCCGCAGTGCGCCTTCCCGCCGGCGATGGCGTAGGTGCCGTTCATCTGGCGCTCGATGGGATAGTGGTAAAATTGCAGCTTGTGCACCACTGAGAGAACATACCCGCCCAGGTTCCGGAAGCACTGGCGGAGCAGAAACAGCCCATCGGCCATCCCGGCCAGTTTGAGGTACTCCTCTGCATCTGCGCGGGAAATGCTTCCGTAGTAGAAGGGCAGGTGGGCAGCAGCGTTGGGCATCTCGCAGGATCTTGCTCTCACACAACGGTGCTCATAAGGAACCTTTAGAAACTTCGGGAAGAAGAGGGACGTTCGCTGAGAGATGCTGGGAGTTGTGGGTCTTTTTTCCTGTCCGGTCTAGCATAGGATTGCTCCTTATGTACTTGGCAGAAACTGCCTACGAGGAAAGAAAAAGGAGCCAGGGGAAGTCGGGGCCTTGCTTTAGGTGGAATGCCCCTGCCAGCATAGGAAAGGGGACATTCCACCAGCCCTGCTGAAAACTGCTGAATTCCCCCTCTCCCTTCCTATCTGAGGCAGAGCCCCTTCTCATGAAGGAGATTAGGAGGGGGACTACCCGGAGAAGGGCCTTCTCTGCGGTGGCGCCCCAATTGTGGAATTCGCTCCTCAGAGAGGTCCGCCTGACATCATCCCTTTATTCTTTTCAACACCAGGCTAAAACCTTTTTATTTTCCTAACGTTTTAAAGTTTGGCTCCTGTGTTTTATTGTTGATTGGTTAAGAAGGGTGCTGTGTTTTATTCTATGTTGTCTTATTGATAAACCATCTTGAGAGCACGGTAAGGGATGGTCTAAATAAAGGTCTAAATAAATAAATAAATAAATGCCCCCTTTATCTTGCATGTTCTCTCTCTCTCTCTCTCTCAGATTGTTCATGTATTGCCTTTTACTGGTCAATATTAAGCCACCCAGAAGCTTTTGTGGCAGGGAGGTGAAGGAGTGGCATAAAAATGGTCTAAAGAAATACATAATTACACAGGATTTATGACATTATTAGCCATGTTGCATGTCTCCCAAAATAAATGTACTGAGGCATTTTGCCATTTCAATCTCCACCAACTCCTTTTCTTCATACCATGCTAAATTCAAACTCCCTCCACTGGCATGACAGTCCTGCTGACTGTGCTGAGGCAGATGAGAGGTGGAATGGGGCCATTCCACCCGTCCTTCTGAAAGATGTCATTCATTTCCTCTTCCCTCCCCATTTCTCTTTCCTTGTATGCCATTTCTTTTAAATTAACTTGTATGTGAATTTTGCCAAAACAAACTGGTTTTTTAAAATACATTTTCTTCCAGAAAATAGAATAAGGGCATGAACCTGGAGGGTTACGGGCATGCAATGCAGAGTAGGAGGAAGAAGATGAATCCTTGCTTTTTCCCTTCCCACCCCATTGAATGCCTCCTGCCCCAGCTCTAAAGATGGTTTTGCATCGTTGAAGCCCAGCTGGTGCAGAAAGAAACTCAGCACTTGCATGAGCAATGAGCAGCCCCGTTTAGACACCCTCTCCACCCCAACTTCGCTGTGCTTTTCCTGTGGTCAAAGCTTCCCTGTTCCCTGTCCCTGCAAACCACATCGCGTGTGAAACTTAGGTCCATTAATATGGGCAAAAATGCAACGATGCCATGTCTTTTTAGACCAGTCTGTCTAATCTTCTTTTACAGAACATATATGAAATGTTCTGGGAGGAGTGGAATAAGAATATGTAAAACTAGTGAAATGAACTGGAGATGACTTTTTATATCTTCCAATCCATACATTGGACACGACAGTCTTAATAATAATACATTTATCACCCGCTTTACTTCTTGTCAGGAAACCAATATTCTCCTCTTCTGCAGGTTATCTGCATAACAACAACCCTGAGATCTCAGGTTGCAGTGTCTGTTTGAGCGCTTGATCTGCATCAGTCTTTTTCCTTGCTCGTGCTGTTCTTTGTGTGTGCGTTAAGGTCCACAACCCACCCTGGGCACTGCGTTTTGAGAACAAGGGAGGGATCTTAAGAAAGACGTTCAACATTGATGAGACGGAGCAGCGCTGTGTCTGGTTCCGGAAGCCCTTTCATGTGGCTGGACGGAGATGCATCCTGGGTCAGATAGATCTGTCTGCAGAACAGAGTCTGCAGACTCCCAGCCCAGGCCTGTTCTTTTACAGTACCCCTTTTGCAGCAGGATATTTTCGGAAAGGCAAACGCTATTTGACAAATAGTACGTATCTCCCACCGGTCTGGCATTGGCTCTATGAACCATGTAGGAGAAACAAAACGCAGCCATGACATCAAAATAATTCCTGCTGTCTGAGCTGAGGGCGGCTAACAGGGAAACTGTGGAGAGCTGGAATACTGTGAAAACTTTAACACTGTAATCTTGGGGCATGAAACTTGGTTAAACCGCTGTGGCAGAAAAATGGACGTATCGGCTCAGAACTCTTTCAAGGCGAAGTTAAAATAACTGATTGTTACCAATACTTTATGCAGCTACATCCTTTCTTTGGATCAGGGAAGAAGAGAACATGTGCACGTCAAGGGTTTCTTTGTGAATACAGCTTGCTCTTTGGAAGACCCAGAACATCACCAAGGGATGTTCTGTCCACTACCCCTTATTTTTGCCCCGAAGGTAAAGTCGGAAAAAAGTTATGTCAAGTTCGCAGCGCCCCCAGGAGCAGAGAAACGCAAACGGGATACAGTAGATTTTTCCTTTTTGTTATTCTCCATGTGCAGAAAATTATTTAAAAATAAAAAAGGCCTGCCAGATTGGGCCCACGTCCAGGATCCCATGTGTTTCAGATCATTTTGCAGTCCCAGGAGGCAAAAGCCCTTCTCGAAGAAGGAGCTGCTTGCAGGAAACTGTGGCAGGAAGCACAGCCGGTGACGAGAGCTGTGAGAAACGAGTGCGCACGCGCACCTTTTATGTGTGTCAAGGACTTGCCAAGAGAACGTGGCTGGGAGAAACGAAATGCCTCTGACCCATGCTTGCACTCAAGCTGAGAAGTGATTTTGGGCTTGGGGGTGGAGGTGGTCAAGTCTAAGCATTCGCAGAAGATCCACATTCTGGGCTGATTTTTGTTTTCCTCTTCTGCTCTGGAGGCTAGCCTGATTTGGGTTTTTGTGGGAAGGGGTCTCCTGGATCTGTCTAGGGTGGCATCCTGTTCCCACAGTGGCCAAACACCTTTCCCCATGTATCCTGGAATTGGTGAACCTAAGCATCCTGCTTCTGGCACATACAGTCATGAGGACTAGCAGCTTTTCCTTATGTAACCTTACTAACAAAAGCCTTTCTAATGCTAACACTGATCTCAAATGCCTGGGAGAAGGGGGCAGTCTTAATCAGGTGCCCAGAAGATGATCCAGTTAGCACCAGGCAGTCTTTAGTGGGGAGATCATTCCATGTTCGGGGGCTACCACAGAGGAGGCACTTCACAGGGATACACTCTGAGTGGCAGTGAGTCCCATAAGTTTATTTTTATCATTAATGCATTGCATCTATACTCCAACTTTCTCCCACTTGCAAGCAACTCAAAGTGGCTTACAAGCTTCTCTAACTCTCCGTTTTATCCCCTGAACAACAACCCTGTGAGGCAGGTTACAGTGACTGGACCGAAGGGCCCCAGGTAGCTTCAAGGCCAGGAGGGGGCTAGAAGCGGCATCTCCTGGGTCTCCAGTCCAGTGCTCTAACCACCACTCCAATGCATGTGTCACTGTCGCGAGGCAGTCGTACTCCGGGTAGGGGCGCAGCTGGTGGATCAGCCGAAGCTGGAGGAAAGCGCTCCTCGCCACTGCGGTCACCTGAGCTTCTAGTGAAAGATCCAGGTCGAGGAGCACTCCCAAGCTGCGAACCTTGTCCCTAAGAGGGAGTGCAACCCCATTCAGGACAAGGTTCAGTTCACCCTCTCCAAAGCCAGAACCACCAACCAACAGGACCTCCGTCTTGTCTGGATTGAGCTTCAGTTTATTGGCCCTCATCCAGCCCATTACCTCGGCCAGGCACCGGTTCAGCACAGCCACTGCCTCACCTGGATTGGTGGAAAACGAGAGGTAGAGCTGGGTATTATCAGCATACTGATGGGTCCGCAGCCCACACCTCCTGATGACCTCTCCCAGCAGTTTCATGTAAATGTTGAACAGCAATGGGGACAGAATGGACCCCTGCGGCACTCCATGGCATAGCTGCCATGGCGCAGAGCCGTAGTCCCCCAGCACCACCTTCTGGAATCGGCCATCGAGATAGGAGCGGAACCACTGCAAAGCAGTGCCTCCAACCCCCAATCCCGCAAGCCTGTCCAGAAGGATACCATGGTCGATGGTAGCGAAAGCCGCTGAGAGGTCCAGGAGAACCAACAGGGACGCACTCCCCCTGTCTTTCTCCCTGCACAGGTCATCGTACAGGGCGACCAAGGCAGATTCAGTACCGTACCCGGGTCTGAAGCCGGACTGAAATGGGTCCAGATAATCAGTTTCATCCAAGAGTGCTTGGAGTTGTCCCGCCACCACTCGCTCTAACACCTTGCCCAGAAACGGGATGTTGGCCACTGGTCTATAATTAGTGGCCATCTCTGGATCCAGTGACGCCTTCTTCAGGACCGGTCGGACTACCGCCTCCTTTAAAGGGGCAGGCACCCGACCCTCCCTCAGAGAGGCGTTAATCACTTCCAAAATCCAGGACCCAATCCCGCACTTGGAATTATTTATTAACCAAGACGGGCAAGGGTCGAATAAGCAAGTGGTGGAATGTACTCGTCCAAGCACCTTGTCCACATAATCGGGCCGCAATAACTGAAATTCATCCAATAATTCTGGACCAGATGGCGGCATTGGCGTCTCCCTTAAAGCCTCTGTATCAATAGTGGAATCCAGCTCGTGACGAATCTGAGCGATTTTCTCCCTGAAATGCCTGGCAAAGTCGTCACAGCGGGCCTTTGAGGGTGGAATCAGGTCTTCTTTCGGACCTGGACAAACCAGGCCATGCACCACTCGAAAAAGCTCTGCCGGACGGCATTGTGAGGAGGCAATGGAAGCGGAAAAATATCTCTTTTTCGCCGCCCTCACCGCCACAGCATAGGCCCGATAGTGGGCTCTCAAGTGTGTTCGGTCAGATTCATCACGTGATTTCCTCCACCTACGCTTTAGCCGTCTCCCAACCTGCTTCATCGCCCTCAATTCAGGGGTATACCAAGGGGAAGAGCGGGCTCTGCCCGGTGGGAGAGGGCGCTTAGGAGCGATCGTGTCTACAGCCCTGGTCATCTCCCCATTACACAGTTCGACCAGAGCCTTGACAGGAGCACCCGTCTTGTCAGCCGGAAACTCCCCCAGGGCCTTCAGGAATCCTTCCGGATCCATCCGGCTCCGGGGGAGGACCCACACAATCGGGTCTGCACCCTTACAGAG